CAATTGAAATTTGTGGCTGTACCTTTGCAGATATTGTCGGCAAAGACCAGAGGCCATCGTGAAATACTGCGCCTGCATATATGTGAGTAAGATGTATTGAAAGGGGGTATATGGTTTTGGCGACACTTTATTTTGCCATGCTGCTCAAGCTAAGGTAGACCGGTGAGCCAAAAGAGTACGAGACATGGGAGTAGGCGCCAACCCCATTTTTACAAGTGGTCTTGTGCTAAATTTCGGGGGGATGAGGAGAAGGATTAAGTTCCTGTTTGGGGTTAGTAGTAAGGTCTGGGTTAAGGTTACTGCTAAAACAGCTGCACATTTAACCCCCCTGGAAGTTAGCGCAAAGTCAGTTGTATTGTTGGGCCTGAGAGGGCTTTTCGGCTGTCTCACGCAAAAATGAACGTTTACACATAGAATGAACAAGCCGACGAGGACTGCGGATACCAAGATATCAGTTATTTTCTGCTTTCTTCAGGCGCCACCAACCTGCAACTGCGAATTGACGCCAAAACGATGCATATATTGACCCCCCCTCCTTACTCCCATGACTCACTTGGATGAAATAACGAACATAATCGACCGCATGTTTTATCTTTGACCCCACTCTCATATAAATGTAATGGTCTAGTGAAAATTCATCGAAAACTTACGTATGCTCGCCAACTACTCTTCTAAATACGTATATTTCGTAAGGTCGACTTTTTTGGTCAAATTGATGGGATCAAAGAAGCAACTGCGCCTCACCTAGTTATAATGGTAGCTTAGCGCGCTGTTCGAGCATCACACGCATGGACTAAGATAATTATGCTATACGCAGAAAGCAGTTTAGTCACATCTATATATATCAGAACTTGGCAGGCGGGCAGACATGCGTCCCGTCAATTGTTTGTGGTGACGCGATGTAAGTTCTAATTAGTCCGCCAGTATTGACTGGTGTGGTTCAAGGCGAAAAGTGAGCCCATCTTGGCTCGTGGTGACAGTTCTACTGGTGATACCGACGAGGTCCACCGTGCGCCCGACGGCATTTGCGCTTTTATTGATGGTAAGTGTTATTAGATCTCTGACTTTACACCGGAAACGGAGGTGGGGCGGTGAACGAGTGGGCAGGTTCCCCGCGAGTCTGCTCTAACTCCTGTCTTCTTTCGCAGTAGTTCGCTACATTGCTTCTTCTTGCTGTAGCCTTCCCGCAGCTTGCCCCGCCTTCATCCGTGTCTGCTTCGGCTTGCTTCAGCGTATGCTGCGGTCTGTTGTCCATCGTTGAAATCGACGGGGGAACTGCCGTGTGTGTACATCAGTGACATAAGTTAGACAAAATATCACATCTCGTTAGCCACCATGCACAACCTTACAGGCATGGTCGGATTTTTCACTCCTAAGTAGAACTCGCAAGGGTGGGGCCATACTGAACTACCCTTCCTAGAGGAATTCAGCTCTAATAAAGCTAGGACAAAAGAGTTACTAGCTGACGGGAGAACTTAATCTGTCCCTGGGAGACCCGTAAATCAACGTTGCCTCTTCGCGATAGTGGTGGACCTGTTGTTTGCGATAATCGAACTATCGGGTCACCCAGCATTCCCCATGTGGTTTCAACCGTAACTCTCATATTCAATTAAATACACAGAAGTAATCACGCGCGTGCTAGGTGCATCGTCTACCCTCGTCTGGTTTACATTGTCCCGCATAAAAATAACGCAACAGAGAGGGGAGTGCAGAATGTGTGGGCGGCCAGAAATAAACTGTCATTACATCCAGGAGATTAGTCCGCGTGCTAACTCGACCGTCACAAAGGACAAACCTATCACTACGTTGACCTCGTGGGACAGTGGCGACTAGCGTGTACATCTCTTTAAAGTGAAACAGACCTTGTACTGAATCTTCCCCACTTCCCCCCTGTTTGATGGCAAGTCTAGACAGGAAACAAACGTAGGCATAGGGACTGACAAGGGCAAAAAGCCCACCTACGCATTTTAGGCACAGCGCTGGCCCTAACACCCTACATACGCATCTTTCGTAAGGCAGTCTCAGATCTCGCATGGGTGACAGCATGACAAAGGGGCACGCTAGAAAGGGGTCTTTGAAGCCTGGCTTCCAATCCCGCACAAGTCCACTGACAGGCTCAAAGAGTGGCTGAGACCCTGGAATAAGAAGAGAGGGTGAGGCCGACAGCTCAGCGCATTCTACTCACTATAAACAAGTTGAAACGCCCGAAACTACCACGGTGCGCTGGAAGCCGTGGCTTGACAGGCTGGCAACTGACGGGATAACCCGAACCGCGCGGTCAGCCCACTGTGCGTTCGTGTGGAGTGGCTGACTAGGAGTCAGGTTGCAATGACTCCTTCTTAACGTTGTTCCTACGGCATTCCCGGTCAGTGGTATTTGAGGCGGGTGTGACGACACGCTTAAAGG